GGCCCCAGATGAAGACATCACACAACTGTTTCTGAACTCACTTAAACTTGATTTTTTGTAAACACTAGCAGCACACATCATTACGTCTTGCAAATATTGCAGCATTTCAATGAATCCAGAGTAAAAAGTATTTTATTTTTTATTTTTGTGAATCTGTGGTGACTGGGCAGACACCATTATCGCAACAAACATCTAATTGATAAATGATGAGATAAACCCATCAAAACAATAATCGTGCAGACTTAAACAAGATGGTAAAATGTGTTAAAGCACATAGCCTTTGTGGATGTAGAAAATAACCATCAGCATTTCCTGGAAAAGAGTGCATTGTGGTCATCGTGTCTTAGAAAACCATAAAAGTAAATTTGAGCAAATGTGACATTTGTGTGTCAAGCTTGAGACCGTTATCGCGCAACATTGAAAATCCGGTTAGACCACGAATGGTTACCCAGCTTAGAAGTTAGGACTTCGCAGCGCTGGTTCGGTGACGTGGCTGCTCCGCTGCCACGTGCATCCTCACTGCAATCGTATCACAGGCAGACGCCCGTGGTTAACCGGGTTCTCAAGTAAGCTGATGGTCTTAGCCCAGACGCCAATCACTGCACACGCAATAAAACGTGACATTTAGTTTTTTACTTAATTTAACTCGTAAAATATTGATTTACTAATGCCATGTAAGTAACATTCCTCTCATGTGGCAGGGTGCGTGGGAAAGTGCTTATCTGAGATTGTGTGGACCAGTGATCTCTTTAAGGGGATCTCAGAGGTAGCACTGTGATATCCGCTTCTGTGGGTCATTCACTTAACATGAAGGATTGCATTGCTCTGCCTGAGTTACTTCGTCTCATGAAATTACACGATAGCACGATCAGGATACAATTGAAGAAAAATAACAAAAAACAGTAATCGGTCAATATGTTAGTTTACGGAGGATGATTTGTCGGTCGTCATTCGCCACTGATTTAATGTTTTATTTTGTTTTGTTTTCCCCCGTGGTGCATGTGCAGTCATGCTGCCGAGCTTGCACGTGCTCAGCATGGGGAACAACCAGCAGGCGACGGACGGCAAGCGAATGGAAGTGGCTGTGCAGCTCTTTGAGGCGTACAGCGCGCTGGCCTGCTGCTGTATCTTTCACGTGGGGGGGGGGGTGCTCCCTGCGCCATCAAAACCCATAGCAGAATTGCTGCCACGTTGTTGCTGTACACATTTCAGGAATTTAAAGTACTTGGGTTCACGCACTTCAACAAATATGGAAACGACATTCCAGGGCGTATTTCTGCATGCTGTTTTATCCAAATCACGTGAATGTACTTTTATCATTTATCACGATGAAATATATTCTCCTCTATTGTTTCATATCTTTGCTGTGGCACACAAGTGTCTGTTTGGAAAAACACACTTATCTGCTTGGGAAATCCGGAGATGTTAACACCACCCGCGCACGTCAAGAGTGTCTTTACTGAATTCTCGCCAAGGACATTCCATCTGGAAAATTTGATTTTTTTCGTATGATTACATTGTTTTGATATTTTCCAACCCCCAAGCTCTCTTCTGGCATGTTATTTTTTCCTTGACTGCGCTGTCTGGCCACCAGTTATCGGAGAGGACGTGATGGTGCAGCACTTCCTGCCGGGCCTCCGGGCCCTCCGCACAGACATGGAGCATCTTTCTCATGAGCATGAAGTCAGTCTCTATTTTCATTCCAAAAATAATTCCCACATTCACATAATCGTTAACGAAATGCATTAAAGTTAGCTAGCTCTGTATTTTTCCGTAGCCGATTAAGGAATCTGAAATTGTTATTGTTTTTGTCGTGTACTTTGAATAAGAAAGTCTGCCTGCTCAACTGCTGAATTACTTTAAATGCATCCATCTAACATGGGTGCCTACTGCGTTCCGTGCAGGTAATCCTTAGCTCAATGATAAAGGATTTTGAATTCAAACTGGATGGCAAGGCCACAGCTGATCCCAGGTAAGATTCTACAATGAGTTGACTCACACGTGCATTGCTACCACTTATTTGAATACCCTCTACGTATTTACGTTCCATTATAATGAGATGTTATACTCATGATGAAGTGAGGGAAGACTGAATGAAAAAAAAACTGTTGTGTTTTGTGCTTAATATTCTTTGGCAGCCTGCCCAGCCCCGTTTTAATGGAAGATGCGAAAAACAAGTTTTTTAGCAAAGTTGGTCAGCTGACAACCAGTTCTAGTACTGTGTTCACAAGCATGCTGAAGCGGAAAAAATAAGGTACATACTTTTGTACAGCATCTTAGAAAAATTAGCACTTGTACAGACACAAATGCCTCACTCGTTATTATTCTCTGGGGCAATCCACCCCACAATTTACCACTGAACACCAAATTTTGCTGCTATAATTTTTTTTGCTCAAACATCGGTTTCAAACTTTGGGAATGTTAAAATATATTCATTAGCTTTTTTTAGGTCATCTAAAATATTGGGAATTTGAATGTGTAATGATTGTTTTAATGACATGTTTTGGTTTCTATGGTAGAATTGTTTTGCTACTTAAAATGTTAGCGTTGTGACTTTGTAAGTGTCATTTCATGATGTATACATGATAAATCATACATTACATTTATTTTAAGAGACTGCTGTGTGGAGGCTAACATGTTGGATCCCTCGAGTTGATGAGTTTAATTCACGTTCAGTTATTACTATTAAACATTTGTTGAAGACCTTGGGGTACTTGAGTATATGTTTATCATTCCTCTGGCCACCCAGCAGTAAAATGGGTAAACACCAGCAAGGCGATTGTTATATATTATTGATGGGATACAATGTAGGTACTGGAGAGGCTTTTCAGCTCTTCTGGCTAATTGCTTTTTGAAAGACAGACCCACTACCCATAGTGGCAGTTAGCTCATGATTCAGGGTACACTGATAATGTTTTTTTTAATACTCTCCGACATTGTATATCAAAAGTACCATTGAAGAGCTCATTACATTTTCTTGACCACTTCAGGTCATCCGTACACTACTATGTTGTCTTTGCGTGCCTGCGATGCATAATGCAAAGGGCTTTAATTGGTACAGTCACTAAGTGTGAAGCTTACTTGATGAGCTGATGGGAATCAAAATATTTGTTAAGGGGAGGATGATTACCAAGTAGTTTTTAAACTGTGTGTGGATATAAGTTATACACGCTTTCATTGTGAACAGCGTACAATCAGATGTGTTGTGTGTGATCAATGTTCTTTTTTTATTGAATGGTGGCTTTATTGGATATGTTGCACTGAATCATTGCATGTGCTGGAGGGTGAAATACGTTGCGGAATGGAACAATCTTATGTATTACGCTGATGTTTTTCATTGCGATAAGTACAGTATTGTACAATAATGTATTCACGTTGCTGTCTTGAGCTCTATTTGTATATCTGAGCCGGAATTTTGGCTGTCTGAAATAAATGTGTGGTTTCTACTGTACACAAGTCTGGAGGTTTATTCTCATTATAGTATTGCTTCATTATTCGCGAGGGATACGTTCTGGAGATGCTGGCGAATAGGACATTTCTCAGATGATATTGGCCTATGAAAACTAAGATTTTTGAATTATCGAAAATAAATGCATAAACAAGCTCTTATATACATTAAAATGATCATAATTTCATCAAAAATTGGTTATACTAAAGTTATTAAATAAATAATGCATTCAATCATAGTTTATACATGAGCTTACCTTAAGTTATAGTGATGCTGCTGCATATCATCACTTTATCCCATCACATTCTCTCATCACTTTATCTCATCACTTTATCTCATCACTTTATCTCATCCCTTAATCCCATCACATTATGTCATCACTTTATCCCATCACTTAATCCCATCACATTCTCTCATCGCTTTATCTCATCACTTTATCCCATCACATTCTCTCATCACTTTATCTCATCACTTTATCCCATCACTTTATCCCATCACATTCTCTCATCACTTTGTCATCACTTTCTCGCCTCACTTTCTCGATGCAGTTGTGTTTTCCCAGATGCGATTCGCGGATAGCCAAAATCACGAAGAGCAAATTCGTGAATAACGAGGGCAATACTTTATTTTTACCTTAATTACAATGAAACGAAGAAAAACGAGAAAATACACGCGCTCCCCGTCACCATCAGCCACAACCAAATCCACTGCTGAATCAAGGCCTGTCCAAGCCACCGCCATCCCTCACGGCCCTGTGCAACAATTGTGATGGAAGCGATGCCGAAGAAATGTTTGTGAATTATGTTCTGTCACCTTCAAAACTCCCATTTCAAATTTTTACCCATTATTTGGTATGTCAGGCTACTTCAAATTATGTTCAAGTCTTAAGTAAAATTCAGTATTGGTGGGATCACTTTTTAATTCTGAAGCTGTGCAACACATTACAGCAGGTACTATATCAAACTCCTTTCAAGATTAGTGTAACACGTTTAAAATCATTCGAGGTCATGATGGCCTAGGTTGTCGATGTCACCACAACTTACCAGCCCTTTGTCATTCTCCTAACTCTCCCCTATCATCTCACTCCCTTCCACACACACTCCTACCTCTCCCCTATCATCTCACTCTACTCCACTCCACCCACGTTTTGCTTCAACAACAAGGCTTTCTGTCCCACACCACATGCAACGTCGGCTCAGTGTGAAGTCGCTCATTCTCCACTGCGCCCCCTTTACTCTGACACCACCTTTCTTCCCCAAGTCATCCGTGATGTCAACTTAACAGATTTTTGTCCGTGTCCAGCCTCAATTTCTTCCTTTTCTTTCCCCCTCCCCTCTGCCTGTTCTGTTTCTATAAAATCCACCTCATTGCTTCTGTGCAGCCTCTTGAGATGCAGTCGATGGATGTTCAGAGATTAGCTTCCGAATTTTATCAAACTGGTCACCACTCTCTGGGTGACGTCTTTCGATTCGTATTTTGCACGTTGCGACGCAGGTAACCCCCCCCCCGCCACAGCGGCCGCTAGAGGGCACTAGAGAACAAAACAACCGATCCCCGAATCTCATGGGCAGGCAGAATCGCCGCCACGAGTCGACCGCCTTGGCCGGAAGCAGCTCGAGCCACGGCCGCATTTGCGAAGGGGCTCCCTCTCTGCGCGTGTTAGTGGCCAAATCCACCGCCGGACGAATGCCTTCCCGAAGCCGTAGTCACTTGGCGTTGTCTGCGGGGCAACAACTCCGCACGAGTCGCCTGCGCGTGAGATAACGTTCGTCGCCCCGTCTCCCGCAGACGTTGCGCGCGGCGCTGCCGCGACTGAACGCCGTCGCTTTGCTCGCGGGAGTGAATTTGCGAAACGCGTCGAGCGATCCGCAGAAGTCGACCGCGCGTGCTGCCCTGGCGCACTGATGGCACCCACCCAGGGGTGGTCCGTGAGCGGCGCGGTGCCCATCGCCGACCTCCTCCCGGGAGGTTTATAGCCGGGAAGCGGTGACTGGTGGCGGACAAAGGTGGTCCAGATGTCTTGTGACCACCCGCATTTAAATAAAACCTTAATATTTTTTTTGTATAGCAATAGGTGTGTAGCGTAATGGAAGCGATATAAAGATGATGACTTCGTTAGATTCAATTTTATATGTCAATGTCCTTGTAAAGGGGTCCGGTAAGTGTGTATGAGAACCAGCATTTCCTCGACAAATATTACGCAACATTTCCAGTTTCCACTTGAGCAAACGTATTCAAATGGCTGAGCAAAGTGCAACAACGTTAGGGGTCTATTAACGTTGGGGGTCACGAGATCTGGACCACCCTGAACACCTTCACGATTGGGACGAGGCCCCCGTCCGGTGGGGCCGTGCCATGCGTGGGGGCGATCGAATCTAAAAATAGACGCAGCATGTCGGTCCAAGGAGTGCCAGTGGATTTCGTGCGCGCGCAGCGGAAGCATCTCGGTGCAAGGTTGACCTCGCGAGGGCCAACGCAATAAGTCTCTTGATTGTCTCCTGACAGTTTCATTCTGGGAACATTCGTCCAGAGTTTGCTTCTGCCGGCGCTCGCAGAAATATTAAGCGACGACTTTGCTGGACAACAACAATTGAGTGTGTCGCGGCCGCAGTGGTGGACACGTGGCAGTCGTCTTCCATTCGCGCACTTTATTAGAATCATGAAGGTGCCGTTGAGCAGATTTCGACTCGGGGTCGCAGTGGCCGTGGCCGGGGCCGTGGCCGTCCTCTCGGTCTTCGCCGAGAGGCGACTCCTCGCCCATCGCCTGAGCCACGGCGCACGGGCGCACGTGCACCGCCTGCAGATGATAGCCATCTTCAATGTGGTCATCTATCTGCCCTCCAAGTTCGTCTGGACCAGGTGCGTGACCGAGCCCACCGCCGCTTGCAGCCGTGGCAAATGCGATTCTTGGGCTGGCTTGTGGGCCGTGTGCGTGGCCACGTTCCTGCTGCTGGTCCACACCAGCCTCTTCACCGCCCTCTTTCTGGTTCACATCGAGCCCCACGTCTTCTCGCTGGTGTCCAGCACCTGTCTGGGCGCCTACGTTCTGCTCAATTTCTGGCTGCTGGTCCTGCTCCCTGCGGACCGCTGTCTGAGATTTGCGGTCAGGGCGCTGACTCCGGCGATGGAGAAGGATGAGGAGGTGAAGGATGAGAAGATCGAGAGAAGGAAGAGGGCCCGGGTGCTTCTCGCCATAGCCCTGCTCCTCACCGTGTCTATGACCCTCTTGGCCGTGCACAACGCTGCCGGGCGACCCCACACGCCCAGGGTAGAGGTGCGACTCCAGCGCCTGCCAGCCAACTTGAGTGGCCTCAAGGTGGCCCTTCTGTCAGACATACACCTGGGCCCCACGGTTGGCCGCAGCAAGCTGGCCCAGGTGGTGGACATTACTAACGGGCTCAGGCCAGGTAGGTGATGCACCTGGGTGAACAAAAGCATTTGAACCGTTTTGGATTTTTTTCACAGGTTAGAATTCAGCTGTACATGTGCAGCCCCTTTTGTCAATCGACTGTTGGACGAGAGCCTGCCCACTCCGTGTGGGTCGTGGGGGTTATTTGACCATACTTGACCATGCTGGTTGGTGAAAGTGGGAGCATAGGTGAGGGAGCATTGAATTACAGTACAAGAACGCATTTTGCTGTACTGCCCTCTGCTGTCCACAACTTCGCCATACTCTTGGGTAACGGTTGAAACCTCGGGTAACTTTCGTTTAATTTTGTTATTTCTTAAAAGCCTTACTCATTTTTAGGAGGCTATACATTGAGATGTTTGGTCAATTGCGTGAATATTTGCTTGTGGAGAAATAAAATGTGGGTACCTGGAGAAAAGCCACCATGCATACGAGGGGTTAAGAGTCTACACGTGTGAGGTTCATTACACTTTGTCTCCTGCCATCAATTCAGGCCATATCGCAGTCCAGCAGGTGTGGACATTTGACATTGTGTCTGCATAATCCACCACCCATTGCCACCAATGGACTGGTTCCCAGCCATGCGCCACCATAAAAAGGTCATCCATAACGTATTACAATAAACCATGGGGGTCCCTTATGATGCAGCAGTGTGCACAGCCTACATGTTGCGAGAGGTATAGCCATCGCGGATGGCTATATGTCTACTAAATAGTTAAAATTGCATGTTGAATTATGCATTATATATTGTCCGAGCAACCAGTTGGAAGCTTTTAATGTGGCCTATCTGCTTTAGTGGCAACTAGGTTCCCTGCTCCATGAGTAAAACGGATGCACTATATTAGGGCCCAAATTTTGAAATGTTTGTTTTCGGATTTTTTTACTTTAAAAGCACACACTCGATTGTAATATATACCAGCCGTTATGGAACAATATGTATTGTAGCAAAGCCATTGGCCTCTCAGTATAAAATACATCACGTGCAATACAGTACTGTACTGCATTTCCATGAGCCGCAGAACTTGAGTATGGTCTGAAGTTTCTGACCAGGAACCGTTTTTCTATTTTTTTGTTATTTAAAGTTGGCTGCAATTTCGGCCTGGAGGCCGAATACACTGGATTCATTTCACTTCGTGGGCTGGCCTGCATTTCCTGTGTCAAAACTCGGGCCGAGCGGAATTGCATCACTCGAACATGTTAAAATCAAAATTGTTATCGGCGTCAGGAACATTTAAATGTACATTTATGTTAATACTTAATATTGCATTTGTTAACACAGCAGTAGACTAAATAATTTCAGGACTGCACATATACTTTTATTTAGAAACACGTTCTTAACATTTTGCTTGCAATACTTCTTGAAAAGTCTTGCATCGGAAGTATTTCTTGGAAAGATCAGCCATACTTCCATCGTAACTTGATGAACTCGGATAATTAAGGAAAGGCCGCTCCTTTGATAACCTAAGTGCACTTAAATTGATTCCATTGGACTTTCCATGGAAACTTGGTACAGCTACATACCTGCTACAATAGATCTAAGAGAGAAAAAAAATGGTCCTCTCTAAACCGTGTTTTGTCGTCACTGGCGCAGACTTGGTGGTCATCGTAGGAGACCTTGCAGACTCTCTGGTGTCCAACTTGAAGGATGCTGCTCAGCCACTGTCTTGGCTCAACCCACGCCTGGGCACATACTTTGTCACAGGCATGCCACACAGTTTTAAACACGTTCATTATTGGAAAGTAGGTTTTACTTCATCATCATCACCTTCATCAGCCATGATCTATCCACTGCCAGATGAGGGCCTCCCCAAGCCACTGCCAATCCTTGCTGTGATGCAACAATCTAACTGGCACCTGCACATTAAATGATGTAATTGCTCCATTTCTGTAGTGGGCATACAAACGGGGGTGTTCACTGCTTTGGATGCGACTCAGTCGTTAGTCTTGACCATCGGCCTCCATCCCTTTTCGTTATGTGTCCTGCCCAAGCCCGCTTTACTTACAATCAATATGGCATCCAACTTGTATTTGTTCTGACCAACGTTTTCACCTTCCTGTCTGAGTGTAATTTCAAGCATGCACATCTCCAAGATTCTTTAAAAAGTGCACGCATTTTAATTTTACGTTCAAGAGAATTAGACTGCAAGAAGCGAATACAGGCTGAGTATTTAAAAGGCGAAGGTTTCAATACCAAGTACCTTTGTGTCCGCACAGGTAACCATGAGTACTACACGCACGACGTGCAGGCCTGGTTCCAGTACCTGCGCTCGCTCAACGTCCACCCTCTCCACAACCAGCACGTGCACCTTGGCGGCGGGCCCGGAGAGCGCTTGTGCCTGGCAGGTGTCGATGACATCGAGGCGTTAAGGATTGGGTATGCGTGTGTGGGTCTGGCCAACAGCTCAGCTCGTAATGTGCACGCGGTAACGCAACCTGATTTCATCAAATGGTCTCAATTATTAATGCGACCGCTTCTCAAGACACCGTGCAAAAAGACACGCACATTTTCGATCGTGGGAGAAAGACAAAGGTGTTTTTGTTTGTTTAGGGAGAAGTTGGAAAGAAATTAAAGATCGGGTGCTGTGGAATATAATTTTAGTGCCAATCAAGATATTTGGACAAATCTGGATAAAACTAAAGACAAAATAAATTTAACTTTTACAAATGACAATGGACAGCCAGAGATAACAATACGTAGGTCTTAAGCCTGAACTTGCAAAGGGGAATGGAGTCAGCAGTGTACAAAGACATGGAGGAATCGGCGACTGCCAATTGTTCGAATGTTAAACTAGGGGCCTTGTCAGGAGGCCTTGGCTGCCAGAGTGGAGAGAAAGTGGTGAAGAGCAGGGTGAGATGAGATGAGAATGGCAAAGAATTGGGTGAGTTTAGCAAGGACACACAATGGGGTGAGTTTAGCAAGGACACACAATGTCTCCACTTAACCGAGATATTGACACTGTAAAGGACTCGAGTTGCCCAAAATATTAATGTGGATATTAATTTAAAGTGAGTTATTGCTAAATGAAGTTCATGAGAGCAGAAAATGCAGTTAAATAGATTAATGTAATAATTTCTACTGTTGCATAACAACACCCATCGCTTTGAACACCAACAATACTTTGCGCATCTGTCATGTGTGTATCGAAAATATTTCTTAACATCCCTTGTATATTTGAAAAACCACTGCACAGCCCTATTCGGAGTGTGATAAATGCCTCGCTCAATGTGTGCACACGCAAGCATGTTCACAGCAGGTTATTAAGCTGAAGTTATATGGTACAACTTTACTGCACATAACTTTATTGCAATTTTCAAGTGTCACATAAAATCCCGTGTTGAAGAGTGCAATTTCTTTTGCAGCACAATTGCATGTTACTAAGTCATTAAGCTCATGTCCACAATAAAGTTTCGACTGCTATGCCTGGCCCTGGCTCTCGCCTCCTGTGCTGGATCTAGACCAAGGAGCCCAGTAGGTGATCTAGGCGAGGAAATTCCACCTCCTCGGTGATGCAGACTGTTAAACAGATCAACGTGGCCAACATTGTTTTAAGCAACATTGTTCCCGCTCGCTTTTCCTGCTTTGATAAGGGCTTTTGATGCTTGTGCCAGGTACCCGGGGCACGGCATGAACCTGGGACAAGCGCTGGCGGGCTGCGAGGAAGGGAGCGCCATCATCCTGCTCGCCCACCAGCCGCGTGCCGCACAAGCGGCGCTAGAACAGCGTCCGGACATCGACCTCGTACTTGCAGGTGCTTGCACGTGCATCACAACGCTCAGAGGGGTGGGAAGGGAGTGGGGCGGGGGGGCTAAGAGAGGTGGAGGAGGGGGCAGCACAATGTCCCACGTGGTCGCAACAGAGATGAGGCCATCATCTCAAGGGGCAAGCCAAATCTGATGCTCACAGCCACATCAGGATGTTTTATAGGCATTTAACGATTCACCAATCCACTGATGTGATTTGAGGTCGCGATTCGATTCAAGAATACATTTTTGTACCTAATTTTTACTGTCTCGTTTGTATTGTTTCTTGCTTGTTGGCTCTCTTGTACGTTTTTTTTTCGTTCCATTAGCCTACCTGTAATTGACGTAAATAATTGATGCATGATTCAGTTTATCATGATTTAAGGAATATGTTTTAATTGATGACTCGGTGCATAACTATATGCCTCACATAAAAAAACAAGTGTACTACACATTTTTTAATTCCTCTCCTCCCATCCACTTCGTACCCAGATTTCACAATAAAAAGTAAAAGTTTGGTTGGAAATAAAATTATTATAATTTAACACCATGGCTCCTTGTCCAGTCTATCGAATTCCTCCACTCCCCTCACTTATTCTTTGCTTGCTTATCATGAATGTATTTTTGAAATGTCTAATGCCTTATAATTATGGACCAAATTTGGACATTTGTATCAATTTAATTCTTGTGAACAATTTCAATTGTCTCTCACATTTGTACAATTATACTTTTGTTTATGCTTAGAATTTTTGTCTTAATGCTGTAATCGTTTCTATCGCCGATGTGCCTTGGAAACGAGACTCTTAAAGTCTCAACGAGCTCTCGCCTGGCTTTGAATAAAGGCTATGATCGACTGATGCCAACCCCCCCACCCCTCATCTCACACACCCCATTCAGGGCACACGCACGGAGGACAGTTCTTTCCCGTGTCTCTCGCCGTGTACCTCTACAACCCGTTCTTCGCGGGGCTGTATCGGCACGGCGAGCACAGCCAGGTGTACGTCTCGCAGGGCAGCGTCTTCTACGGAATGCCCATGCGTCTGGGCAGCACCGCCGAGGTCTCCGAAATCGTGCTTCTGTCGCGCTGATGAAGCCCAGTTCCAGCCGAGTCACTTAGCGGCATCTCGGCGTACATCAAGGGGTGGTGACGAAATGGTTTTTGTGTAGGGTGAAGGGATAATTTGTTCAATTTTTATTTTGTGATGATGTGAAAAAAAATGGTGTATTATGTAAATTACACGAGCTTGTGTTTGTGTATACTGAAGGAACTGCAATCTTTGAGTGTTGTGTGTAATTTTTATTATGTTAATGTGATGGTTAGATTGTCCATCCTGGTGTAAAAAGTACACTGGTTCCCTTTTAAAGAAAGTATTATTGACAATTTCCTGAAGGTAATACTATACCTCAATAATGATATGTCAATGATACCTCAATAATGGAATATTTTGTGTGGCATGTAATGCCTATAAATGTGGTGTTTCAAACTTGTCTATTTAAAAAACAGCACTTGGATATGCTTACTTATTTGATGCCTTTCTGGCCTATTATAATAACCATCTGCCCCTTTTCAATACCTTGTTTTGTATGAAACGTTTTATCCAAAAGCAAAGATCGTGTTTTTTTAACAGTATGATGGTGGATTTGTCAAAATTTCTGTATTTTTTACTGGTTTTATCATTGTCAAGACATTTGCCATTGCACTTTGCAGATATTACAAAAAAAAATTAACCTTTCGATTTAAAGCTTTCGTGACTGCAAGGATTCATCTTCTTTGGTTCTTTCGGTAAAGTCACGTAGAATGAGAATAAAATAATAAATTGATCAAATAAAATAACACAATAATATTCTCACGACGTTTCGGCCACAACACAAGCGGCCTTCATCAGGTGAAGGGACGAGACTGTCTGGAGGACAGCGCTGGAGTGAAAAAGCCACGCTCAGATCACGACCTTTTTTTTCACTCCAGCGATGTCCTCCAGACAGTCTCGTCGCTTGATTTTATTTTATCAATTTATTATTTTATTCTCATTCTACGTGACTTTACCGAAAGAACCAAAGAAGAAAAAATGAACCATTAAAAAATATGTTAGTATGTCAAATAGAATTAAATGGTCGAAATGTTACCATTTTCAGATTTTTTGGTAAGTTTTATGTATATTTGGTGCACATTTTCAGTATGGAAAAAGTATATTAGAAAAATAGTTGGACAAAATATTCACACATTTCACCATTATCTTTCACCTTTATTATTTTGGACATTTGGGGAACTGACATGTTTGCTGAAGGTTTCAAGTCAACCATTATTTATCAGCCTTTTTTTTAAATGGACAGGTTAGAATTAGTTTTTCATTTGTCAATGCTACTGTTAATAGTTTTCTCAAATATTACAAAATACCACCGTTTAACACGAAGGCTATTATGGAAAAATACCACCATTTGGTTATTTTGGGACATGTTAAATATATAAAATATTTTGAGATTCTGAACACATTTTCGGGAAAAAAACATGTCTTGGAGAAGTCTAAAGTAAAATATACTTTTGCCATCCTCACTTAATCGCAAAATTGCCATGAGGTGGCAATAAAGTCCCTTATGTAAATGTATTAAAAATGCGCTTAACTGAAACGCTACTAAATTCAGAATATAATTATTCCGATATAGAACGCTACGTGGTGGGCAGCAGAGTAGACTGTTCCACAATCCATTGCTCGATGTTTTTTTTATTTTGACCTGCTTCTGCACTCGAGGGTAAAGTGGGCCACGATGTGCAACGAACATTGGCCTGACGTCTGTTAATATTTACTCCGTTCACTGATTGGATGGCCTTGATAATATTGGTTAGAAATACAATTGACGCCTCTCAACATTTCATAACTACAATGACAAAACGTTAGACTGCTTTAATGGACATTATTCGCTCACTCGCGAAGAGACAGACTCAGAGAGGCTGCTAAGCGTAGACAAGCCGGAAAGGCAGCCACGTGATTCGTCAGCGCCAACACTCAACCCCCCAAGCTCTGCGGCCCTCTATACATTCAGGTGTTACCAATCAATTAATGAATGTTTACATGTGGGATGAAACCGGAGCGAGGGGGCAACGCACTATCCCATACAGACGGAACAGGTGGAGTCGTCCATATTTGCTGTACGGTACTTCCTCGACCCCCACTGGAAGGGAGTTTCACAACATCTGCGTGTGATACACCAACCATCGCTGCCTCTACAGGGCAGGATTCCGGGCCGGGTGCGTAGCCACCACCAGCGCCCCGCCAGCCAAATACACAGACGCAGAGAGAGAGAGACGTGCCACATTTCACAAGTTGTCGAACAAACCAAGGCTTATGACTAAAACGCGGTCTGTGAAATCATGTCGCATGTGTCACGTAGAGTAGCACCCCACCGTCGGTGTAACCAACCAAACAGTCTGTGTTGTGTTGTTGTCGTCGTCAGCCTCGTCACTTCGCGCTCTTGGTCAGAGGCGCGGTGATTCGCGCGCGTTCGCCGCTTGCTGTTTGGTTCCCGGTTCCACCCCAACGGCCGCCCTGATTAATACCGCGGGTTTAGCGACCACGAAAGGCCGAGAGTCGATGCGTCGTCCGAGATGCCGATGGCGTCGCTCGCAATGCGAGGCAATTGTGCCATGGCTCAAAAGGGTCAAATTTGAAAAATTACACGACCATTAGTCAATCGGAATATGCAAAGTAACCATCACCCTGTAAAAACTATTGTAAATGTTGTGGATTTGCTCTCCAACACACCGGTGCGCTGTACTTGTAACAAATTGGCATGTTCTGTTTACAAACCTTACTAATTGGCTGTGTCGGGTGGTGGCGGGTTTAACAAAACATTTCTATTTACCCGATCTAACCCCACAAAACACCCCTGTATTATGCATGATATTGGTCGTGAAAGCCGACAGCGTGTTAAACCATCACCCCCTGACTGCAAAACAAATTGCCAAGACAGGGAAACGAGCAATGTCACTCGAGGTTCTCAAGCGTAATAATAATAACAACACCTTCCTAATTAAATACTATTAATACCTCCATTTAATGTTCAGTCGTGGCCTCGGGACTTTTAATTTTGTAATGCTGCTGCCATCTCTCTGCTGCTGTCCTTTGGGGCATCTCTCCGAATACGCCACCCCCCCCCCCCCCCCCCAACTTTAAAAAAGCCCTCCAGTTCAACAAAAGTTTGGAGTGGCAGTGAACCCATGAAATTCTCACCGCACCGCCCACGCGAATAACAAACTCGCTTCCTCCTCCTGCGAAGTCGCGAGCCGTGGACCCATTCGTGGTGATGTGATTCACGTTTGGGAATCGTCGCAGCCCGCCCCAAATCCCTCCTCGCTCTGCCTCCTCCCGCCCTCCCAAGTCCGTGGGTCGCACATAAATAGCCTGCCGCAAGTTGGCTGCGACTCCGAGAGGTTGCAAGAGAGAGAGAGGGGGGAACGTCGCAGACCGAACCCACCCCAAGTGAAAGTTTTTTGCGGGCACAGAAGATGGAAGGTAAGTGGCCGGTTTGCCTGCTGTCAACACTCTTCATAATTATTGTACGTACGGTGTGGTTCAGTTGTAGCGTGACACCCCCCACCCCGCCACCCATTTAAGTTACTAAAACTTGTACGTTTTTTTAAGTAAGGTCTATTTAAAACAGAAATGAGTATGCAAAGTAAAACAAAACATCTCAGGCGTCAATCAATTGGGAGTCACATGATATCTGGACCACGCTGTAGACCTCCGTTCATCATCCAGCAGTGGATTGAGTGTTGTTCATGACAGCAGCTTTGCGGAGTGGAGCAATTGGTGCTCGTGGTTTCGTGCATTTCACCACAGCACTCGACTGTATCAACATTCCCGCCGAGAGCCGACCGCGCGTGGTGAAGTATGGCCAAACAACACGTGTAACGGTTACGGCCCTGGGACCCTTGACACCGTAGTGGAGTAACAATGGATTTTAAATAGTAGTATAATGTTCACGGATGTATCAACTGCTTCAGGATACGCTGTGAGACTTGTGCATTGTTTGGCGCTCGTTACGTGGAGCAGTGCTGTGTAATGATTGGCTTTCCGTTTCAGGGGTTTTAATAATGAAGAGCACGTGGCGTATGTTGTTCTGTAAATGTAAATGGTGTATGAACGTGTGCACATTAATTTGTTTAATCTTTGAACTCACGTAGCGCCGTGTCTTCCTCTTAAAAGTGCTCACACATTTCGTCCCAAACACAACAGCCTATCGCGACACTAATTGCACTGTCACATTGTAGAGTGGCGATTGGCTCCAATGATACCCTTTAAATGTGACATTCTTAAACACAAAGAGTGATTCCACAGGGCTGTACAGTGTTTGCATTACTGTATTGACCAACCTCTGGCCATGGCAAAGTTATACTGTGACGGGTAACGGAAAGTATGTGCTGCTCATAATTGCAGAACCCTATGGGGATGCAAACCAAACATTGTGAAATATCCCACGACAAACGCTGACCCTGTGAAAAACAAAAACAGTATCTTTCAAGACAGATTTTATCCATTAGATTGCAAACGCGTGATAGAATTTTAACACGTTTTTGTTCAAGATTGGAATTAATGATGTTTGCAGCCGTCATGGTTTACTGCGTACCAATGGCATTCACGTAAAGTAAAACATAAAACATTACACAGGCATATGCTATATTCTTGGTTCTTTCGGTAAAAGTCACGGAAATAGAAAACAAAAATCAAAATTAAAAGCAAAAAACCCACGACGTTTTGACCGCAACACAAGCGGTATATGCTAATTAATTATTCTAAATTGATGTTAAAAATAGCATGATACACGGGAAATGTGAATATCCATTATCCTCAGCGTATTATTTTGCCGTATACAAGAGCGTTAGACCTATATGAGCGGTGCGGTCACCTCCAGTTTAAACAGACGGATAACCATTGTCTCTAAGGTGTAACAGTGGCACAATGGTTGGTGCGCTGTGCGATAAACCTGGCGAGCCGAGGTTCAGCTCCTGGCCACGTTCTAACATCAGTGACGAGTGATGTCTGGAGCGCTCCTGGGCCACCCTGAAACCCACAAATAACCGGCATTGGTCAAACAACCCCGTGACCACGACGAGCCCTTTCAGCAGCGGATTGACAAAAGGGCTGTTGAATCTAATATAACCCATTGAGACTAGTTACGCGATCTAACCCCAACAAATTCCTGTATTATGGGTCCATTGAGACTCGCAGTCTATTTTCTACTTCAAGGATAACCTATTAAAACAGATATCCACGTATGCTTCTGATACAGACCTTGGTCCGCCTCTAATCCACTCCAGGCACAGGCCATCATCGAACGAGTCCCAGCGAGTCCACGGTGCTCGACTTCTTGGAGACTCACCCCGAGCTACTGGAGTCGCACATCTTGGGTCACTGCACTGCGGACCAAGTGAATCGCTGGCTGTGCAAGCTGCAAGGTCGGGAGAGCGCTTCACATGAACACAGTACCGCACAAACACACCGATCGCACCGCCCGTGTGGTGAGCCTTACTGTTTGGGTCGAGTGCAATTACAAGGCACCCGCTAAGAGGCTGGAATTGAGCACAAGGGGTGGGTGGAGTCGGCACCACGCCCGACCGCCTTCGTCTGCCCCTCTCGGATGTTTATGCACTGTGAAGCAGGCGCTCATTTGAGGCTTGGGTCGACCCACGGGAGGCACAGGCCCGGTTCAGATCATCACCACTGATGTTAGCCGCGTTCGGCAATCAAATTGGGGTCACTGGGTTCAAAGCGAAGTGCATGAAAAACCTCGCCACAGTCCTCTCTCCCACACTCACCCAGACACTCACCCACACGCACGCGTGGACGATAATGGAAAACAAAAGTCTGAGGGGCGTCTCTTGGAGTCCCTGCAACGCGCTGATTATCAGCAACAATGGAACGCGCGTGGCCACCACATCCCTCCCCCAACTTCCCCAATTGAGTTTATTTTCAGAGGCCGATAAGAGTCCATGGGGTCCGACAGAATTCAAATCAGGAAAAAAGAAACATCCTCCCACTGTTAATTGAATTCACTGAATCATTTCAACCCCTTCCATGTTTTGTCCTGAATGTTCCATTAAAGTTGTTTTTCATGCAAACCAAACCACAAGGGGGTTTATGTGATCTGAAGGCTGAGCCAAGCATTGAAGTAGCCAAATTTCCATCTTCCATAATGATTTTGTGCATTCATAATATTCGTCTCCATTTTACTGTTGCTAAGACAACAGCTTGCCCTCCCTTATACGAAACAATTTCGTTTTAATTTGAAGTGCAGTATATATACGCAATATTATCATGAATAAGGGCTGGGAAGGTGATGCATTGGTTAGTGCAATGTGCAATGAACCTAGTTTCCTCAGTTCCATTCCAGGCCATGGCTAACATCGGTGGCGATATACGAATCGGTTTTGGGCTCATTTATATCCCACTAACTCCCACCGACCAGTTAGGTGAAGTAAGGTCAAACAACTCCACTGTCCAACACTCTGTGGGGATGCCCTCATCCAGCAGCGTATTGACAAAAAGACCGTACGGGGGTCGGAGTTTGGAGGGCAGAGGAGCAATGCTCACGACGAGTGACGCGCCGGGCGACGAGAGAGAGTTGGCGCAGTGTGGAGGACAGGCGGTGCATCTGGCAGTCATCTCGGTTAGTCAACCCATGGCACCTGCTGGGTCTGTTCCATGACCTCCTACCAGCGGGCCTTCGCCTCTTCACCTGATGGCCTCAAAGTGCACCTAGCATGGCACAAGCATCGTGGCCATTTAGTGGTGAACGGCGGTTGTTGTCGTTATTGTTGTTGTGTATATATGATCTGTTTTTTCACGTTAAGTTGGTCTTGCGTCGGCAGGAGGGGGTGGCGGGGGCCTGGCGAGCTCGCCATCAAAGAGTCGCTCATCCCTGCTCGCCCGCCGGGGTCGTCCGTTTATCATCGATGTCCACCTGGGCGACTCCTATCGCTTTGAGCCTGACCGTGATGAGCTGAGCCTGTCCCTGCGCTTGGGTATGACGTCCACTGCGCCCACCACTTTCTTCACTGTAGCCACACTTCTTTTGCTATACTCATACTTGTTTAATTATACCCATAAATCATTTAATATACCAACCAATTAATTAAATTTACCTACCACTTAATCCACTATACCCACACTTTACTGTAATTACCGGTGATTCACTTTACCCGTACTAATTCATTAATCCCATAAATCGTTCATTTACTCAGTTTATCTGCAATACACGCTTTATTTACGATATCTACCAATTGATGTAACATCCCTTGCTCACCGTACCCATACTTTATTCATTATTACCATCACTATATTCGCTATCCCCACATACGGTTATGATACGAGTAGTCATTTTTGCCCGCTTATACCCATACGTACATAGATACGTAATTCACTTTATCCATACTCCATTCACTTGACATAACTACAACATATTCTTGGTTCTTTCGGTAAAGTCACGTGACTTTACCGAAAGAACCAAGAATATGAATCCCTGCAGTCACGAAAGCTTTAAATCAAAATATAACGTCAACACTTAATGTTTTAATATTTATTTTATTACTAAATTAGGCCAGTAACTACAAGAGGCCCTGACAGGATCCGCCCCCACACTGCAAAGCAGTGCCCCCCCTGACTGAAGCAAGTCCTTCCTGTCGACAACCACCACGTAGTACATCATGTCGATAATTACATTTCAACTTATACCGCGTACAGTATTCACTCAGTCGTAGACAGAGAGCGACTTGGAGGCGCGAGGGACTGCAAATGAGCAGGAAGGCAGCCACGCGATGGGCCGTGACAAACTTTTCCCAAGCTCTGTGGTTGTCTCTATATTAAGGTGTTATTGGCCAATTCATGAGTGTTTACTTACATATTTCCCTGCTATCTTATGCCCCCTTCCCATGCCATCTCATGCTCAACGGTTTCACCTGAGCTCCCTTCTGGGCCTGTGTAGTGCCCTCACTATTAATGTCATCAAAGTGTTGACACAAGAACAAAAATCCTGTGTAGCCGACTGAGACCTCTGCGGAAAGTGTCGTGAGCGAGCACACAAAGGGATTGGTGTAGCCAGCACCACGCCCGTCCGCCGTTGCCTCTCCAGCGCCGGTGTTTCCACACCGCATCAGGTGCTCCATTAAAGCTGAAGCGACCTAGGCGATGCCCGGAAATGGTTCAAATATATCTCGCCACTGATGTTAGCCACAGCGGAAAATTTGACTCAGGTCACCGGGTTTGTGTCGCAGCGCCGCTGTACCTCTGCACCCCCGCAATAAACTCACAGATGAAAACGAACTATGTGAATGGCCATCAGTGTCAGGGCTTTAGTTTGAACTGTGGATGAGCAGTTGCAAAGCTATCCAATGTGCCGGCGGTGGCAACTGTACCAGTGCTTGTGGGCCACAGGTCTGCCAGGCGCAGGGTGACCGAGAGGGGTGCTGCCATCGGCCCCCATTTCGTTCCCTTTACCGGGTGCCATGGCAAGCATGACACACGCCACTCGAAGTGAGTCGCGCATTGGCCAATCCCCATGTGGAGATACGCCACCTGGCACATCGTCTCGGCAGGGCTGCTGCTTATAAAGACGAGATAATGATTGCCCGACGTGAGCCTTCTGCGTTCACTCCACAGCGGAGCCACTGTGGACTGTCACTGCCTTGAGAATTATATCACTGTTGTCCAAGCATAATTTTTGAGTTATTGGAAACGGACACTTGGCAATCTGGACATTGAGGTTCACCTCTCTCCTACATTGTTCAGGACACAGACTGCTTGAGGGAGATGGGGCCAAGTGCCAGAATGGAAAGATGTATTGCCACACTGTACACGGGACACTTGAAGGGAATGTGTGAGTGACGCCAAGATAAACAGGTCCCACGGAAAATCTCTCGCCATCATTGGTCGGTGGGCGAGCGGTTTGTGAGCCAAACATCTGGAACCCTTAGCGTTTGAAAAGTCGAGTTAATAAAGGCAGCTCACAACTTACCCAAGGGCAGGGAGCATAAATACTTTATGACCGAGATGTTATGCAGGGACTGAAAACAGGCAAGCTGTATTTAAAGGAACACGAATCACACACAAGCTCGCGTTGCGCAACCTTTCTCAAACCGCGCTCATTCTTCCTGAAGCGGTGCTCCCGTGTCATGGCGAACGTTGCAACACCGGCGGCAAATCCCTGCCGCTCCCAACCCGTTACAGCGACTTGTCGACAAACAGCGGAAATTTATCGGAGTGACGGACCAGTCCTCTTATGGCAGACAAGGCTTCACTGTGACGCTAGCTCGCAGCCAGAGTGACTCATAAACATTTCTGGCAGAGCTGATATGCACGGTCGCAACACCGTGCAAAGCAAGGGGACAATACATCCATTGAGCATGCCTAATTCGGCTGGACATTTGCAGTTATGCATTTTTTTGCGAGTATCCAAATACAGGGTGGGCTCACATCCGGACGCAAACGTGGAGGGATGAAATGTATTTAGACATTTAAAACCCATCTTGCTGTGGGTGTGGAAGCAGTGACGCACGCCTTAAATCCAGCGACACAGGTGGCAGGGTTGGTGAAGTCATGTAGGGCACGACCCACTGACTTGCCGAGCAATGGGGTTCTTGTAGGAGGCAGTAGAGAAAGTAGGTTTCAGACCTCTCTGTCAATGGTTCTCTTGTACGAGTGGACATTTTAGGGACATTGGAAAGTTTTGTTCCCCAATGAGAAGAAAAAATATCCAGTACCCAAAATAAGTTAACCAACGGAGGATTATGAAAAAAACATTCAAACTTCAAATTTCATGGACAATGAAAAGGCATGTGTAAATGCCTCAATTAATTGTTTAATATCACTTCCTACACTCACGATACATGCATTGTTTGGTTCTATTATTGCGTATTGCAATATGTTCAGGAGCTAAATGATGGTAATGTCTGTCTGGCAGCCACAAGAGGGCTTCAAGAGAGCGACCGTGTCGTTTACTATCTGGTCAATCGTTTGGGTTGCATGCCTACAATGGCACTGTAGCTTGTCTTTCACTTTACAATTCATGGAGGATGTGTGTGCATAAGCCTATTGCTGTTCTTAGCAAATGATGGTTACATCCGTGTCTTCAAGGAGGAGTGCCAAATCCAGGTGGTGCGATGGTTGGGTCTCGGGTGGGAGACAGAAAAGCCTTCTCACCGTGGCTCCCCCTGTTGCGTGTTTTTGTGTTACCTTAAACGCAACTAATACGGTCATCTTAGTGAAATGGACATCGTTAATTCATATCGCATCATGTTTGCATTTAGGTTAAAGTTAACGAGTGGCGCATGGAACAATATGAGACACAAAACGGGGAAAACATAGAAATGGAATAAGAAAAACAAGGCAAAGGCAATAAAAATCTATTTAAAAATCGAATTCTTCCAAACCTAGTAAATAAAGCCAACGGTGCAGCCCTGCAATTGCTTGCACAGGCCGCTGCTGGCAGATGGGCCTCCACTCCAGGTAGCTGTATTGGAGCCACTTTTAGAGGATGGTAAGCAAAGACTTTAACCATTAATATCAAACGCTCCTCGCGTGCCGCAGGCCCAAACCCACAGGAGAGCGACAGGACTCTGATCCTGCTCAGCTCCAACGGCGCCGCCAACGGGGACGGCGGAGGCTGGAGCCTTGACGTGGAGTCGCTGGCGGCGGAGGAAGAGGAAGAAGCAGCGATAGAAGTCCCCGAGCCCGGCACCACGGCGTGGGAGGAACGACAATCGCTGTCTCTCGACCTCTCGGCGGTCGCGATGGGCGGAGGCGAAGCGGGGGGCCATCCCGCCGGCGGACGGCTGCGTCTGTCCGTGAGGAGCCCCGCGGACGCCATCGTGGGGGAGTACCTCCTCAGCCTGGAGCTGATCGTCGGCGTGGAGCCCCTGCAGATCACAGGCTTCACCGTGGGCAAGGTCTGGATGGTGTTCAACCCGTGGTGTCCCGGTACGACCCCCAAACAAACATCGTCACCGGCTCCACCGTAGAGAATTCCTGTGTCCACATTTGGCGATTGCTTGAACAAAACCTTGATTTTACTTAAACAGTAGGCAGTGTGATGTGTGTGTTTAAAGAAGGCAAACCAAAATAGAGACGGTGCAATGTGGCGTGGCCCACACAGGTTTTGAACTCAGCGATGCATGTCGCCCACGAACGCCTCGCCAAGTAGCAAAACGGATTCTTAGGCGGGGGAGCCACTTCGGGGACGTTTTGGGGAACGATTCGTTAACGACGAATCCGTTTTGGCAGGGGACGCCGTCTACATGGAGGATGAAATCGGCGTGAACGAATACGTTCTCAACGAGAAGGGGCTCATCTACATGGGCTCCAACGACTACATCTACTCCATCCCGTGGGACTTCTCGCAGGTCACAGTTTGCAGCAGCTCCCGCACCAATCCTCGACACACATTCCGCCCGTCGTGCTGCGTTCTGTTGCTCGCTCCCAGCAGGATTTGTCTCCGCCTTGGCTTCACCTCTGGCGCCTCTCGTTATGTCGACAGTTTGCAGATCGGGTGGTAGAAATCTGCTTCCAGATTTTGGACAACAGCAACTCCGCACTGGACGACCTGGAGAAGGACGTGCCGAGACGCGCAGACCCCATCCACGTGAGCCGTGTCGTGTCGGCCATGGTACGCGACGATCAGCGGTGCTGCTTTTGATGAAGTGCAATGGAATCCAATTTAACGAACTAACGTTGTGCTCAACTTAATTTTGTGAACTGGCCAGGATGTATGTATGTTGAACTTCTTTCGCACCGTACGAAGCCGACCATGCTAATCACAGGTGCGGAGAAGGATAACGAACTAAACACAACAAGGAGTTCTCAAGCAATGAGTTTTCAGTAACCGCGGCACAGTTTTTCCCACAAGACCGAGCATATTAAGTGGGGTGGCAGTTAACACAAAATACAAACGTCCCTTGTATTTATTTTAATATTGCACCAGGTACTCGGTTAAGGCTGAATCAACCTCGTGGAGGCCCAGGGCAAGGCACACGTACCACTTCTCACTGATGTAGAGTTATAGGGAGGAATTGAACTCAATTTGCACGGTTCGAAGCTCCGTGCACGAACCACTGTTCAAGTTTAACACACGGATTCACACAGAGCGTCTGATCCATCCGTCCTGCGCGCCCTCCCCACGCAGATAAACTCCAACGACGACCGGGGGGTGCTGAACGGGCGGTGGAACGAGCACTACACGGACGGCACAAACCCCATGCACTGGGCCGGCAGCGCGAACATCCTCCGGCAGTGGAGCGACAGCGGCTTTGAGCCGGTCCGATACGGCCAGTGCTGGGTATTCGCTGCTACCGCCTGCACCGGTAACGTTCGGGACACGCGCCCGTGGACACGGTCTAACGCACGGCTCTACGACTAGTTTTTGAGCGTGGGCCACGTCGAGGATCTCGTAGCTCTCCGCGGGCCGTCGGGTTCACGAGCGTGGCGTCACGAGCAGCCCGTGGAGTTGCTCGCCGTTCATGTCGGTCAAAACCACACCGCGGGCCAGAGGCTGCAGACCCCCTGGTCAGAGCATCGGGGAAATCCTGGATTGAAGACTTCCAGGTTTCAGCCACTTGTGATTATAACGGGTTCTCAAGTGTAGTGAGTTTACAGTCTCAGCCCAGCCATCAATTTGACTAAATCTAAATTACGAGAAATAAAACGCATTGCTTTCACTGCAATGGGGTGAACGCTTCTCTATTAAAGGGTGAGCGGAAAAGTGCGCTTTGGGTAAGAAAGAGGCAGTATATGTTAATTGAAACGTGTTGTATGCACGCATGAAAGCACCGCTTTAAAATTACCGCATTTTTTTTCAGTCTTTCATTTACAACCTCGCCATTAAACTTGGGAGAAAATTTTATAGAATACATCGAAATATAAATGTGCCATCGAATTTCCGAGGTTCAAGAATCCTTGCAATAGAGCTGCTGCGGACAATGGTGATGATGATATTCCATTGGACAGCAATATATTACCATGTACTTATTCTACATTTTATAGCACGGAGTCATAATTCAAACGGTGGCAGTTACACAAATGATGTAAGTGATAATACATCATAAAATTTACGTCGTATAAAAAAGGAACTACATCACTCAGTACAACTTTAAAGTGCCACTCATTTATGCTGTCTATTAATTTACAACGCTCGGCAATAAATTATTTCCAGGGAAAAAGTTCCTTAGAATAAGCCCAGCGAATCAGTGTCCTATTATTAATGGACAGACAGGTACGGGAATCTCACGGAGAGAGCAAATCAACCACCCGTCAATCCGTCTAACATTATCCAGTAGTATTTGTTTAAGCCAGCAAATCCTGCACTGGTTTCGACCTCCTGGGTCTCGTCAGCAGGGTCAGTCTTGTAAAATAAATGCACTTCCTCGATGCATATTGTGTCCGCTGTGTGTGAACGTGTGTCTCTGCGCCGTGGATAGTGCAGCAGTTAGCGCGCTCCACAACGAACCCGGCGATCCGAGTTCGATACTCGCTCACGGCCAACACCAGCGCCGAATATCTGAACCAGTCGACTCAGCCTCAAATGAGTACCTGGTGCAATGTGTAAAGATCGCCAAGCGGGAGACAAAGGCGGCCGGCCGTGGCGCTGGCCACCCACCCCCTCGTGTGCCGTGCCGCCCTTCATAGGTGCTGCTGCTCGCTAACAGCGCTGGCCCCGACAGTCTGTTAAGGCTGCACAAGGGAACTTTGTTTTCGTCTTTGTCTTGTTTTCCCTGTGTGGTCAAGATTACCGCACTGCGATCGTAAAGTTTAATTCCCGACCACGGCTAACATCAGCGGTAACTGTCTGAACAGGTCCTGGGCCTTTCCGAGGTTGACTCGGACATAAATTAGAAACGAGGGCAACGTGTAAATATCAGCACCGGAGAGACAAAAGGCAGCGAGGAATGGTGCTGGCCATACCGCCTCCTTGTCGCTTCATGCCGACCTTCGCAGCTGCTCGCAGACAGCACTTGCTGCCCCAACGGCCTGCAAAATAAAAGTCTACGCACATCGTTGTCTCTGTGCCCCCTGCCCGGTTTCCGCCCAGTGCTGCGCGCTCTGGGAATCCCCAGCCGCTGCGTAACCAACTACCTGTCGGCGCACGACACGGACGGCAACCTGGCCTGCGACCGCTTCTTCCGCGAGGAGGACCTGCAGCAGGTGCTGAAGGGACGCAATGACTCGGTGTGGTGAGCACCCCCTTCCTCTCTCCGCTGCTGCTGCTGCGACGCGACGATGGATTTTTTGTTGGTTTGTTTCCAACTCAACGCGAGCCCCCGACGTAGCACTGGTCACGGGACAAGAAGGGCAGATTGGGGGGGGGGGGGCATAAATCCCGCAAGCAAAAGCGCGAGATCGACGCGGCTGGGCTTGGCGAAGAGGGGTGGGGATGGATTTAACACGTGGGCTGTCGTGACCGGTGTTATTCACAATAGAGGTTTGTGGGTTAGATCGCGTAAATAAAACGTGTCGTTAACTGACCGCCACCTCCGATTATCACAGTTGGCTACGTACGGTGCGAAATAAGTTCAACACACACATACACCCGACACAATCAATTAGTAAGGCTTGTCATGTGAACAAAATGTGTCCGTTAGTTACTACTTCAGCACATCGGTGTGATGGCGAGTAAAGCCCCAAAGGAGCGAACGAAGGAGCAAAACGTCGTTCTCACTTGTAAATGTTTACTCGCCATCACACCATTGTCCTCAAGTAATAGCTGATTGGTACATTGTGTTAACTTGACAAACATTACTAAATGTTTGTGTCGGGTGGTGGTGGGTTAACGGCACTTTATATTTACGCGATCTAACCCAAAAACCTTTATTGTGCGATGATGGATAATTACGGAAGGGGAGGCATTGATAGACATCGTTAGAATAATGTAACTTCATACGGTAATTCATGTACAGTCTTTTCGTTACTCCATTGCTGGATGAAGGCCTTTTCATGCCACGTGGGTCATAGGGCTGTTTGACTATATTTCACCGCCTGGGTCGGTACGCATTATTGAAGTCCGAGGGCCGACAGAGAGCCCCGTGACAAGCTGACACACACAGTGGTCACCCATCAGCCTCCATCCTGCTTTGCTTCTGAGCTCTGACGAGATCAAGCGCTCTCCCCAGCGATTCGGTAACAGCAAAGCGTCCCTTACGTACGAAGTGATAATCCGTAACGGAATGCTTTAATTCGGTGGCGATAATGCACGGTGAAAGGCGACAGCTCCAGTTATCCTCGCGTCCCGTCGAGCCGACGCCACCGTTTGAGTGTGGCGCGTTTCCTCGTTCCCCAGGAACTTCCACTGCTGGGTGGAGAGCTGGATGGCGCGGCCCGACCTCCCGCCGGGGAACGACGGCTGGCAGGTGATCGACCCCACACCGCAGGAGCGCAGCAACGGTGAGCGCAAGGCAGGGGGGGGGGCCTTCATCTGGTCGGGTACGACCAAACCCCCACCCCCCCCGCACAGCACGTTACTCGCTTGACTTTGGCCATGCCTCGTAAGCCAACGGCCAGCCCTCACCGATGCACTCGCAGCTCATCTTGTTGTCACGACCCCCTGCAGCGTTGCAGCCCGTGATAGCGAAGCCTGGCCGCGTGGCGAGCTGGTGAGCCGTGACCCCCCACCACTTCGCTGCGCCTGCGATGTGCGGTTTTTGTCCCCCCCCCCCCCCCCCGTAAAGTGCCAGGTAAGATGATCAGCCCAGGCCGCAGTGACGCAGAATAAGGATGTTTAAAATGAAGTCAGAAAAAGATAAAGACGATTGCAAATATTTGCGGCGAAGAGGAGCGATCATGAAACACGTCGAGGCCACGTTCCCAATTGTATGTCATTTCATGAATAGTAAGTGGGGCTTGAACAGAACAGGTCACGAGAAGGGATGACAGCCAGTGGTTAAGACTTCCGTCGGTTTGGCAGCCGGAGGAGCGGACCGCTCTTGTGAAAAGCGTGCAGGTGGCTAAACGGATCGGTGCATCACCGGGCCGTGAGAGATGGGGAGACCTTCATCAAGCAGTGGAATGCTCATGGCTGCTGCTGCTGCTGATGATGATGATGACGGCGATCCGGTGGCACATGTGCGTGGCGTTGTGCAGGCGTGTTCTGCGTGGGGCCGGCCCCCGTGGTGGCGGTGAGGGACGGGGAGGTGAGGCACCCCTACGAGGCGGCGTTCGTGTTCGCCGAGGTCAACGCCGACGTCGTGAACTGGGTGGTGACGGCCGGCGGAGAGAAGCGGCGCGCGAACTGCTTCACGGGCTTTGTGGGGCAGAACATCAGCACCAAGCATGTGGGCTCGGACGAGCGGGAAGACATCACGCACCTCTACAAGCATCCCGAGGGTCAGCCGCACGGTTGCTCAATCACGACGGTCGCCGATGTTTTTTCCTTATCTATTACGAAGAAGTTTTACCGCATGAGATGTGACCATCTGTTTGGAACTCGAGCGGAGGAGTGTGACCCTTCACGCTAAAAGAATGGCCCGGGGAAGCGGATATCACAGAGCTACCTCTGACCTGTGGTCAACACCGGAGGGGGCCACTAATTTCCAACCGCTCTTCGACTGAGAGCAATGCTCGTCGTCTGAGAAGTTAAACCAATATTTTTTTTAATTCTCAGACAGACTTCAGCCAAATTAAAGTACAGAACCGAATTTAAACGTGGTATTTTTTAGGGTGTCGTTATTGGTCATACGAAAGATAGAAAGATTGGTGACCAGGCCGAGCCAATCAACTGGCTGTACTCGAGGACCGGGTTTAAGAGGTTCTGAAACACGAAATTATACAAATCTGTTCACACACAAAGACAAACATCCCCCTATAGCCTGAAACGATTGTTGGGGCAAGTGCTGTTAGCGAGCACCTATGGAGGCTGGCACGGCTCACGAGGGGGTGGGTGGGCAGTACCACGCCGGGCCGCCTTCGTCTCCCTTGTGGTGATGTTTACACACTGCTCTAGGTACTCATTTGAGGCTGAGCCAACCTAGGGGAGGCCCAGGACCAGTTCCGATAATCGTCACCGGTGTTGCCCGTGAGCGGGAATCGAACCCTGGTTTCTGGATTCGTAGCGCAGCGTAGCGCGAATCGCTACACTGCACACACAAACACACACACCTACCCCAGCAGGATTATAATTCACCCCTCCAAACATTTGCTTTGAAATACAGAGGTGGGGGGGGGGGGGGGCAGGTGGAGAGGAGGAATCAAAAGGTGTGTCGTGAATTCTGGCGAATCTGGTAAATGGGCACGAGGCCGCGCTCACGCTGCGCGTCCTCTCCTCGGCGGCACGGCGGGGGTCGACGCGCAGGCTCGGCGGAGGAGCGCGAGGCGTTTGAGCGCGCGGGGCGCGGGGCGCGCGACGCCGCCGTGGTGCTGCGCGACCTCGAGGCGCTCATCAAGCTCAGCGCCTCGGCCTTCGTGGGCAGCAACGTGGACGCGCACACGGTGGTGCGCAACCGCTCGGGGCGCGACCTCACGCTCACGCTCACCTCGGCGGCCGCGGCGCTCACCTACACGGGCCAGTGCGGGGCCGAGTGCGGCGCACGCTCCTGCAGCGTCACCGTGCCGGCCGGACAGAGTGAGTCGTCGCCTCCCGCGTCTCCTTTAGCACCTCCGTCTCGCGGTCTTCTTCTGCTCCCCATGTTTCCCCTTGTTCTTCGACTTCTTCATCACCTGGGTTTTTCTTCATCTCAATTTTGCTTCCCATTCTTCTTCTTCTTATTTTTTAAAATGCTTCTGCTGCAGCTTCATCGTCCTCCGCTTTGTCAAGCTCACATTCTCGTCCTGTTCTTCTGCGTCGTCGCCGTAACCGCCGGGGCTCGTCTGCCCCTGCCATCGCCGGCTCACTGCGTCGCTGCTGCCTGCGGAGTTGTTCTTCCCCGGCGTGTCCACCCCTCGCTCTGTTCTTTGATGTCGCTTGCCCAGCTCTGCCTCGTCCTCTTGATCCTTCTGCTGCTTATCCTCCCCCGCCTGTCACCGCTCGTGCTCGTCACACGCGCACTTGATTACTTATAAAAGTTCGCTTTCACCTCTTGCCTTCATTCTCGCCACAGATACTTTTGCAAACATGGTCTTTGTACGATATTGTTGAAAGGCTTCTGAAAGTTTTAATTTCTCCTGCTATGGGCTGTTATCCTTGTTGGTCAATGTAATCTTTCACAGTTTCTGAGTAGACCGAGGCTCTTAGAAAAACTCCTTCTTTGTGGGTCAGAGTCCAGCTAAAAATCCCAGCACCTCGTCCTGAGTCATTGCACATTAAGAGTTTGTACGTGAACACTTGTTCGTGGATTAACGTACAAACACATCACGTATACAGGTATGTAAGATCATAGATGTTACATCATTGCCCAAATGTTAAAAATATCTGAACAATGCAATGTGCAGAGGACCCACAATAGTCACTTTTGAAATTAACGAACAGACTATTTAAATTACGTATACCAGTCAAGACATGACGTGCAGAAATATGCTTTGTTATAGTTATCTAAATAGACTAAGGTAGTGTTAAGGGTGGTGGTAGTGGTCAGAGCACCACATTATTAACCCAGCCACCCAAGTTCAATTCCCAGCTGTGGCTAACATCAGTGGCGTGAACGAAATCTAAACTAGTCTCTGGGCCTTCTTCACCAAGTCACACCGAGCAGCATGGTGAAGCATGGTCACGTGACTCCCGTGACAGAGACGTCATGAAGATCAACCATCGCCCCCTACTGGCAGATTTAACACCCCAGGTCACTGTTGTAAATGAGACCTCCGATTAGCATGATTGGCTACGTACGGTGTGAAACAAGTCCAACATACATACATTCTGGCTACTCGAGTTATCACCTGGCCTACACAGAATACATTCAAACGAATAAACCTTCCCAACATTACATGGGTAAGAACCATTCTGCAACAGCTTAATTTTTGCATGCAAGGCGTGTCGCGATTGGGTTGGCATCGCTTTCGCCGTCATTCCCTGACGTACCACGCCCTGCATTGTTAACGTGCTGCGCCCTGCATCGTTAACGTGCTGCGCCCTGCATCGTTAACGTGCCGCGCCCTGCATCGTTAATGTGCCGCGCCCTGCATCGTTAATGTGCTGCGCCCAGCATCGTTAACGTGCCACGCCCTGCATTGTTAATGTGCCGCGCCCAGCATCGTTAACGTGCTGTGCCCGCACGCCTCCTGAGCTTGTCTGCTGGCCGCTGTTGCCGCGCAGCCGCACGCGAAACCCTGCGTGTGAAGTACAGAGACTACGGAGAGCACCTGACGGACCAGAACCTGCTGCGAGTGACGTCCCTGCTGGAGGAGCCCTCGTCAGGGCAGCTCGTCATCATGGAGAGGAACATCACGCTCAAGAGGCCCCGCATCACCGTGACGGTGAGGGCCTGACCCCGCGCAGACGTCCGCGTAAGCGGCGGGCAGTCGAAGTGCACCTAGTCTGGCACGAACGCCGTGGTAATGTCGCCATCGCGTAGTCAACAACGGTGGCTGGTTGTTGCCAGCTCCTGAAAGCGGGAAAAACGACGGTAGGCTTCGACCTTTGACCTTTTCAGGTCGTCAAAATTGTCATTGGACACTTTGTACATCTACAGCCACACAGCCCTTTCTGTGAGTCTACCTTGTAAGCCATTAGGGATATCTGGCCATACTTTGTTAGACTCCTGAGTGGGTTGGTCAAAGTGGAGGTGGGGGAGGTCATACCATGCCCGAAATGCCAATTATACGCGTCTCTTACGTATGACGGTCGCCCATCTGAGCACAATTCAGACCTGACCCAACTTGGCTTTCAAGATGTGATGATGAGGTCGGGCACAAAAGTAAACTAGTCCAGGATCCTTAATACAATCCTTGAATCATTAAATTTGTGGCTAAATTTATCACTATTCACTTTGACGAAATGTTGGCACTCTAAGGGAACCAAAACGGGTGATTGAATATAGCAACAAAAGTCGCAAACGTTGCTACCACAGGAGTCAGAGAGCTGGGCAACTAGAGGGCACTCTTGCTGCAGCGGCCTTGACTGATGAATGACCTGCCTGGGTCTCTGGCAATGTATGCAAATTGTGCATGTATTATAATTGTATAATGTATGGAAATTGTACAATGCATTAAAATTGTACAATTGTAGAATGGAGGGTTTCCTCAAAGCTTTAACCCACAAAGTCTCAATGTCTGGCAAGTAAGGAGACTGTGGATGAAAAAGCAAATTATTTTGTTCATTGTCCAACCATCTGTGGGGAGATGTAACGATAACCACCAAAAGTTGACTGCAAATTACTGTCATGAAGTTACCTCCGGTTATCTTCATGTATGCAACATATATCTTAATATATGAAAGTTATCACGTTTTTTTTCCGCGACACCCATCGATTAGCGCACAGTTGGTAGACTGTAGGTGGCTGACAATGTACAATTGGTTTACAATGTACAATTATCTGGGTGGCGCGGGGAGATAGTACCGTCCATAATACAGGTCTCTTGGATTAGATCGCGTTAATAAAAATGTGTCGTTAAACCCGCCACCACCCGACACAACCAATTGGTAAAGGTTTGTCACGTAAACAGAACATGCCAATTCGTCACGAGTACAGCACACTGGTGTTTTGGAGAGCAAATCCACAACATTTACAATCTGAGTACGACGTTTCGCCAGTAATTACAACTAGCTTCATCAGGCGACAGCCAGATGTGTGGCTGTCGCCTGATGAAGCGAGTTGGTCGCGAAAGGCTACGTGTAAAACAGACAGTACCGTGGCAGATCACGGAGCCAGCACTGCACAGATGCTTGCTTCGAATCTGGGTTTCAGCCACCTTAGGTTAAATTGGAGTTGACGGTCTACGCCTGGTTACCACAAAGTACCATCGTATATCAGTCATTTTAAATTAAATTTGTCAGTTTCTGCTCTGAAAATTGATTATCCTTGCCAGTGTGTAAACATGAGCAGTGGGGAGACAAAGGCAGCTGTGGACATTGGCGGTCCAGGCAATACCACCATTTAGCGAGTCGAGCTAGCTTTAATCGGTGCTCACTTAGCAGAACTTGCCGCAAGAATCTATATAAGGCGACACTTGAGGGTCATTATATTTTAGTTCCTATATTAATATGGCAAAGACAAGACAAAGATCCCCTGTGTAGCCTGTAACAGACTGTTGGGGCAAGTGCTGTAACAGACTGTTGGGGTAAGTGCTGTAAGCGAGCACCTATGAAGGCCGGCACAGCACACTAGGGTGTGGGTGGCAACACCACGCCCGACCGCTTTTGTCTCTCATGGCGATGTTTACACATCGCACCAGGTACTCATTTGAGGCCGAGTCGACCTAGGGGAGGCCCAGGACCGGTTCAGATAATCGTCACCGGTGTTGGCCGTGAGCGGGAATCGAACCCGGGTCACCATGTTCATAATGCAGCGCGCTAACCACTACGGCTCCCCACACCACACGCACACATACACATGCAGTAGCGGTGCCTAAGTTTGCCCAGTGCACTGGAACACAGAGAGCCATTGCTTAGAATCGTGCCTTTGAATACGCAACTCCATCAAGCAGGCTGGCTCTGCGCTGTGCGACACGTTGCCGGCGCACACTCCGCCGTAGGGAGCCTGGCATGTGGCCGCTGATGGAAGCGAGCGATCCTTTGTATCAAAGGCAAAAGCTGCTCCAAAGCAGAAAGTCGCCGGAATTGCTACCGCTGTTAGAAGTGCAAATGCAACACTTGTGTGCGGTTGTTGGTTCCCCCACCTGCTGTTTGAGGCCAATGAAGCATAGAGAGATCCTCTCTCGCAAAGTATTCAATTCAGCGACATGTTAATTAGCGGTACGGTGTATTTTTGTTTGTTTCTAAGATATTGGTCACCGGTGTTAATGAATTCCCCCATTCCTCTGTAACCATTTGTGCATAGTCTGCAGGAGTTTCTTGGTAAGCAATGCATGCGCTGTCTGCACAAAGGCTGGAGGAGATTTCCTGATTGAATCCGGTGTAATGGGTTTGTTTCATTCTCTTGCAGATTGTGGGCGAACCGAGACAAAATCGGAAGATAAAGGCCAGAATCTCCTTCACAAACCCTTTGCCTTCCAAGCTTATCCACTCCGTCTTTTCTATAGACGGCGAAGGGCTCACAAGTCTGCAGAAAATCCCAGAGCCGTAAGTTTTGATATTCCTTTCATCCGTCTCCTATTTTCAAATCCACAAAGCTGCAATACTGAATAATACAGCATCGCAAAGCTGCTTTAACGCAACACAGTTCAACCACCACGTAGGCTTTTACGGTTGTGTTGTACAGCTCTCCCGAGGTTTATTTTTTGGTTCTACCGCATGTTGATCAATACGTTGTCCTTTACTTTAATGTTATACGTAGGTTATGAATCGTGATGTCTTGACGTTTCGCTCCACGCGCTGGTAGCTTCTTTAGGACCTGAATTGACCAGCTTACTCTTTCTTCCCACTCATCGAGGCTCAGAGTTAACAGAACTGCTCACTTGTGAGTTGAAAGTGAATGGAGCTGCTCAAATCCGTTCCCTAAGAAGCTCCCGGCACGCGGAGCAAAACGTCGGACACAGTGCCACCCGAAAACGCATCAGACAGCTGTATTGCATGGCTGTAATACATAAATAAAAACCGCGATGAGAGCTACACAAGCACAGTTCTGATTGTCTTCTTCCCGTGCCCGGCTTCCGACAGAGCTGCCGAGATCGGTCCTGGAGAGACGCTCACCGTGACGGCGGAGTTGGCACCCAGCCGACCGGGAACGTTTCTGCTCTCGGTCGTGTTCAACAGCGACCGCATCAGGGACGCCCACGAGAGCAAGAGGGTCATAGTGCGGCCATGACGTCGTCCCCCCCCCCCCCCCCCCCCACTTTTCCACCAGAACAAATGCTTTGCTTATATACAGTGTGCTTCCGAGACTTTGCAACAATAGCACAATAAATGTGCAGCCTCCGGGCTCTGCAGACAACCTGGAGAAGATTCCAGGCCATGTGTTGACAATGATGGCGAACACAAATCATCTCTTTCCTAAACAATTGCAGAAGTGTTAGAGAGAGGTGGTACCGAAACACGTAAGCTCTGCTGCGTGACACTTAGGATGGTGAGAGAGCGCATGGAAGTGTTTCACAGAACCACTCCTTCGAGTGACCTGTTATCCATACACAGCGGATGTCGTTTGCCCCACTTGCCCCGTTGCAACGATTGTTTTCTCGCAAGGCAGGTCGGCCAAACCGATGTTTGTAATTCTCAGCCGAAAGTAGGCAAATAGGCAAATAAAGTGTGGGAAAAAAAAGGCGAATTATTTTTATGCGTACAGCCAATGAGTCGCAACCGTCAGTGAAAAGCTCGTTCTACTTTTTTTTTGTGAATTGATAGCAGCCCGCACATTCTGTAATCCATGATCTCGGCGGTGCTGGCTCATTTGTTCTGACCCCTGCACCACTCGAGCGCTCCATAACAATGGCTCGTTATTGAAGACACGGGGAAAGAAACGTCGCGTTCCAGAGCGCATTTAATTCGTAACTTCCTTAGGCGTCACTTGCAAAAAAAGGAGGCAACTTGTCTCGCCGTGTTTTTGGCTCGTGCATTGCGTCAAGGGACTGATTTAATGCAAATATCTTGTCCATGTAGGCATGCCCCACATGCACTTGGTATGTACGTTGTGTTTCCATTTTTAGTTTTTATCCCGATTTAAAAACACGCAACATTGTGCTCGCGCTAGAGGAAGGGGCAGAGTGAAACAAAACATCGAAGGCTCTCGCCCTACAGACATTACTTTTTCACGTAAAGTACCGGGAGCCGGTGTTGACGTGGCACTTCGGGTAATGGAGAAGGGCGCAATGTGTGCAGGCCCAGGCGCTTACACAGACAGCTCCACCAACCACTCTTCTCTTGACCCCTGGCGACGCGCACGTGCCACCGATGATGACCATAGTGCGCTCTTGGTCATCCGTCACCAGCAGCCACGATCGATCCACTGTTGGATGAAGGCCTCCCCAAGTCGGCGCCATTCCCTCGCGGTCCCGCGGTGCGACGCTCCGCCCACCACGTGTGCATGCGAGCCGATTTTGTCGCTCCGTCTCCGCGTTGGACGTTCGCTCCGACGCGTTCCATCTCCATTGCTCGGCTGCCACTTCATCATCATTACTGTTCCTGTCGTCCCATCAATTCCTTCGCACGATGTGCCCTGGCCCGAGCCCACTTTTTTTAATTCAAACTTAACAAAGGTAAAGCGAGTGCCGCTAGTATTCCGACTGTCTCCAAGAGGCAGGGGGCTGGTAACTGTCGGTCTGGATTTGACGCCAAAACTCGCTCCCATTTTACCATCCATCAGGTTAGCACAGAGGCAACATTGAGAGCCGTAGGGTTTTTTTTTATGCCATCACATTTATCAACAAAGCTGCTGTGAACTTTGCTTCTGCTAAATGGGACCTTTTTTTGCACGTATCAAAGTATGAAAAAATAAGAATAGGTTTTACCCTTTCTGGCAATGAAACAAATGTTAAATTGTTCAAACACCAAATCGAAAACTTTTGCAAAGAATCAAGTTCCTGCATTAACCACACACAGAGTAGTACTTGTGGTGCACATGCAAACAACCATGCTCTGATAATATTTGCATAATATATTATCTTGCTTCCGCTATACTCTCTCTTACGCCCATAGAGCTGGGACAATTATTACAATCAATGGAATGTCAATAATTGTTGTGAGCGCAGCCTTCAATTCAAGAATTCCCTTTGTCTCAATTGTATTGTCTCGTCTGTCATTTCCTGGTTTTGTCTCATTTTGACAGTTCCCTGCACTGCATTTGCCAACACTGGCTGCATCATCAAATGTGATTGACATTTCAATACATTTATAATTAGCAATCAGTATACATTTTTACAAATGAAATGTTGATGCTTGGTTACATGCCTGGTAACAATGGTGCCTTTGACAAGGCTCTGCAGTTTACAAACACTACAAGAGAGCTTCACCTTTGCCAAGCGCCCTTGAGTTTTCCGTGCGCACTAACTCAAGTACTCGGACACACACCTCTATCCAGAATGTTAATTTATTTACTTCCCAATCACAGTACTGAAAAAAAAACCCCAAGCATTAATAGTACGATAGTATTACATGCACTGGTATCACAAAAGCAACTGATATTCTTTAAACTATGTAACCACCACTATAAAATCAGCATTTAAAAATGAACACCCATCTCTGGGTTAACCGCAATGTATGAATTTAATAGAAAATAAAAAAAAGTGTTCTCTCTGGAACGGACAACATAAATAGCGCTTGACCTTTCTTTTGTGTCTTTATAAATTGCTGCATTTGTGCTGCGCTAAAGTATTGGCATATAAACGCTATTTAGCTTATTGCCATTCAATCACAGGAAACAATGCTAATTGCACAGTGTATAACTAAATTTCCCACAATGCCTTTTCACCTTACATCTTTATTACGCTCATAAAGTAGCTTATAATCTCTTCGCATTTGTAACTTAAACAAGTAAGAGTTTCCACAATCATTTTGAATGGGCCACAGCAAAGCGCCACGCATTGAACAGTAAGAGAGGCAACGTTTAAATACTTCCATCTGTTTAGTCAGGCTCCTTTGTGCTTGTACGTGTGTATGCACACGAGTTATATTGCCGGTAATTCAAGAGTGCAATTCTCCGGTTCGTTTTTAATTATGCCGCTCTGATGTAGGACACCAAAACATCTGGGGTGTTTGTTTTTAATACCAAATATTCAAACGCTGGTTTCAATGGCTCGCACGATGGCTGCGCTACATTTAAGAGGGTCGATGCGGACGCCGTTTCCATCGGGTGCTGCGACGGCGTTGTCCTGGTGGCACGGCGCTGGAACGCTGGCACGCACCTCTCTCGTGCGCCCAACGACTGCCAGCGGTCTCCTCGGGCACCGTGCACTCACGGTTGCTCAGCGAGTCCGAATGTGCGAATCTCTCAAACCTTCACTGCTTGCGCCTCTTGCATGCCCAATGCTCTGGTTTCTTCTGACGAAAGTCCCGATTTCAGCGTTCGCCGAACTGTAACGCGAAAGCATCACGGGAAGCGGTCATTAGCCAAGGTGGAACAATTCACCGCTTCGCCCCATCCACCCCGGAAATTAAATGCATCGTTGCAATTCAGTCAGGTGGTTAAACCACGGATTGATGATTTTGAACGTTGGTGAATCATAGCGTCTCCGGAGCCCTTAGCCACCCAGCCACCTCTCCCCGGGCATCGGTTCTCATGCAATTAATTATATATGCCAACTGCAGATAAAGACATTTGGGGAAAATACATATGCAGCATTTGTTTGTGTAAAACTTTCCAACGTGCGCTTGTCTTTTCAAAATATTCCATGAGCAGCGTGGAAGCCGATGGGTGTCTGGCAGGAAAAATGTTTTTGCCCGGGTTTGTTTCTCCAAGTTTTTCTGGGCAAACCCGAGATCTATTTGGCCAGTTTAAATAGGCCGAGTCCCCGATGGCTACACAACTTTATCGTCATGTTTTGTTGATTTTGAGAAGTCTTTACGAGATTTATGCCCCACTACAGAGATGGGACGGACACAGGTAAAATACTTTGAACCTTAGTGGGCGAGCTTCTCCTGCGATTTCGGGTTTTACCGCAAAGTCCGACGTTTCGCTCCCCATCCCGGAAGCTTCTTTAAAAACCCCGAATAAAATACGAGGGACGTTGAAAACGACAGTGACAAACACGGAGAGAGCAGCACTGGCCTTGGGGGGGGGGGGGGTGAAACTCACTGGACTTGCGGTTGGCGCGCGAGCGCTTGCGCTCCTTGGGCGTGGCACGCTGCACGGGTGCTTGCATGGACGAGCGCACGATGCAGTCCAACATTTCGGTCGTGTCGTCCTCCGTGGCCAGCAGGTCCTCTTGCGATGGAGCCGGGCTCATTTTGCTCGTCCGTGCTGAAAGGAAATGGCACAGGGCTCGGCATGCCGACGAGATAACCTCGGGATGAATCGTTTTAAGGCGTTCCAAAAGTCAAAGGGAAACGGACAGGAGGGGCACTTCTGTCGGGCACGTGTACATGACGTGTACATGACGTGTACATGCCGTGTACGCGTACCACTGACCGTGGGCCCTAAATCAGTTGTGGAGAAATGCTCAACGATGTTTTTGGAAGAGGCACATGAGGGCAGAGATGGAGCATCTGCTGTGGGCTTCACTGTGCAGTGTGCAAGTCACCGTACCACCGCTTTACCATAACAATCGTGGAGAAATAATAGTTCACGCCGATCTATTTGACATCTTAATACCCAAACACCTCAAGGCAATGCCTCCAGAATAGTTTTTTTGCCACCCGTCCTGGTTTTCCTAGGATCCCATCTTTTTTGAGGTACCTGCTTTCCATAAAAAAACATTTGTCAGTCTTCCCGGGACATGGTAAGTCCCATTTTTTGTCGTCAATACACCAACCCGAGGCAATGCCTGTACGTGTGCTTCTCAGACTGAGACGTATTCTTCCCACGACGCACCCGGGTTTCTCTGTACCTCGGACACGGCAACCCTACACTCCAAAGTGACGCATCAGAGGGCCGGGTTCCACCCGATTCCGAGGCTTCAAAAATAAATCCCATCACCATTCTCGATCGTTGGCTGCACTTGGGGAGGGGGGGGGGGGCGATGCGGCCACGGGAACGGACGAAGGAGATGCGTACCCATGCCGCGCGTCCGGGATCGCCGCATCAGCGAAGAGGGCGTGCCGTCGTCCACCATGAGCAGGGAGGTCATGTCGTTGTGGGCCTTGCAGTGCTCGGCCGCGGAGGGGGAGCCGCTCTCCACGGAGGCGGTCGCATCCGTCTCCATGTCGAAGGAGAAGGTGCCCATCTGAGTGAGGGGGTCACAGGCCGTGGGTCACGGGGGTCAGGGGTCGGGGGTTAGGGGTTGGCGATCGGGGGAGACGTATTGATTCTTGTCCAAAATGTATAAAAAGATTGTGACGTTCACATCAGGGTGCACGAGGTGAATACATGTCCATTTGGAACCCCCGTAGAGCGGTGCATAGCGTTGTGCTATAAAGCGGACAGTGGGTACAGATTTCAGAGAACGGCTTTGAGAGTCCTTCAAGTGGCCTCTCAACGTAACGGGGTGACTGGACCGAGACAAACTCGCGACACTTCAGAAAAACCTGGTTTAACCGCAAGCGGTTGAAATCTTAATTTCAACTCACGTTTCTCAACGCCGTTGATTTGGTGCTTTGATCCCTGAGCCACCAGACTCGTACGTTTAATAAAAAATACCAACCCATAAAAGCGCGTATTTTTAATTTTATTTCATGCAGTCATTATCAGAGACTCGTTGCCAAAGCATTTTTCTCTGTAGACACTGAAAAGTAATTAGTGTAAGTGTCCTAAACAAGACGGGTGCACAAGCTATCAATTGCATTCAATATAAAACCATTATCACAAAGGGTAAAACCACATCAAGTGCAATCGTGTTTTCACGTGATATCGCTGGTTTACAAAACACCGAGTAATTTAAATACAAGCCTGCAATACAAAACGACGCATTCATTGCCGGCAACTTCGTTCGATCCGCCGCGAGGACAACGCGTCGCTGCGCAATCCACGCGCGGTGGCTCGGCGCGGCATCTTCGGTGGGAGAAACAACCGGGACGCCCCTCCCGGGCCACGTCGAGGGCCGGCTCGCTGCCACGGCGGGAACGAAGCACAAAGTGGCCCCGGGGGAGAAGCGCGGGGGTGCGGCATCACCTCGGTGATCATCTTGCCGCGCGTCTTGATACGCTGGCGCACGTTCTCGCGCTTGAGGCGCTGGGCCAGGACCTGCTCGCGCACCGTGCGGTACTCGAGCGCGAACTCGCTGAGCACGCCGCAGAAGCGTGTCGCCGTCTCGTGTCGCGCCGCCGCCGCCGAGTAGCCCAAGTAGAGCAGGAACGCGCGGAACCTGCCGAGCGACGAACAGCCGCGCGACCATTGCGGTCGTCAGGACATTTGTTTAACAAGGCCGAAAGTGCGAATTGCTTCGTCGCGTAACCGCCGGCGGGAGCGAGGGGGTGCATCGGGAGAGAACTCCTCGGGAGAGAACTCCTCGGGAGAGAACTCCTCGGGAGAGAACTCCTCGGGAGAGAACTCCTCGGGAGAGAACTCCTCGGGAGAGAACTCCTCGGGAGCAGCGGCGGGCGACCTGCGTCGCGCGGAGCCCCTCGTGGTGGCCTGGCCTCAGCGTGCCGGGCATCAGGCGCGGGGGTCGCGATGAGTGCACGGGGACGGTTTCAAGCTCGCGGCCCACTCGAGGTGAGCGAGCACCGCGAATGTGGCCCACCAACTCGTCTAGGTGTCCCACCACCGGTCTAGAGGATGTTTTGGCCTACTCTTCCAAGATAGCCAGACCTCGTGGAAGAGGTGGGACCTGCCGATCGCCTCACTGTGGTGCACCCCCATCTATTACTGCTGTGGGTGGAACGAGGCAGTGAGTGGGATTGGCAACAACAACAACAACACTTGCACCATCGTTTCAAACTGCTGCATGTTCAGCGTGCAAACTGCTGTGGGCATGGCAGCTTCCCTGCAATAAAAATGATGGGGGTGCGACAAAACAACTCTGAACACAGGGGACCTGCAAGAGTGCGATAGCTCATGGCACAAATGTACTGTTGTGATAGGATGCAATTAACCTATACAAAGGAATGTTTAAAAAAAAAACATTTACAGCATTTTCATTTATATTCAGTTGATTTATAAACATCTTGAACATTCAAAAGCATCCTT